TGATCAAATGAAGTTTTACTCAGCAGGAATGATGAAATTTGCAGGTAAATGGCTGGAACTAGACACTGTTATACTAAGTAAAGTAACACAGACACAGAAAACAAAACAAAACAAAACCAACAACAAAAAAATGACATATCTTCTCCCTCATATGTGGATCCTAGCACCAAATACTTATAAGTGAGAATGTACACAGACATAACTACAGGGTCCAGGATAATGAAAAGGAACCAGGGAGGTAAGGGAAAAGAAGAATCTGAAAGAGAACAGCAGAAAACAGGTGTTAACAAGGGAGATAGGTATAAAAATGAGGTTATTTTAAGGGGAGTGTGGAGGGAAGGTTATACAAGGAACCTAGGGGATAAAAGGAAAGAAGGCACTCAAGAGAGGTGGGACCATAGAAGAAGGGTATTATTAATGAAGAAATGGGAAAAACAGGCCACCTTAAATGGGGAAACCATGGTAGAAGGGTTAGACAATGTGAGAAATAAATAATGCCTAGCTAGTTTTAGAAAACCAGAGGGAACCATATTAGGCCAACAACCTACTGACAAATTATACATACAACCTGATCAAAGAAAATAATATATGTCTAGGCAAGGTTTATCTGAGAGTGTTTGGTGTTTGCCAAAGCCATATCAACTTGCCACATGGTAATTAAAAGTACCAGAACAGTGGAAGTAACCTTCTTGGATGTTTAACAGCCATACTATGAAGTTTATACTAATTTGGACAGAGAGGCATAAAGGGTAGTTTTTCTCCTTTCCCTCCTAGGTCAACAAAGTTCCAGGGGTCTATGAGCATCTCTCAAAATGTCCTTTAACTGTGGTGAGTCACCTCTCCTCTTGATCAAGGAAGCCATGGAGACCCCACCAGATGTACCTGAACCAGTGTCTAGTCTACAAAGAGCAGGGTCAACAAAGAGGAAACATTTCCTCCATGCTTCCAAGGAAAGCCAGGCATTGTTGAGTAGGACCATTGACTTATCTTTACATAGATGGAACTGGTAAAAGAAAGGAGAAAGGGACTCCTCCCAAGCCCATGTTACCTCTGAGGAACAGATCCTCAAATAACCTTAAGAGTGAAAATAACTTGGTTTATCTGGGCCAACTGTAGGTCCTTAAACATTCAAAAGAAAAGTATAACCAAAGATTAATGGGGTCAATATAATTTTAAGGCTCCATACGTAAAGCAAATGGCTACATAACAAGAAACAATGTCAAACAGGAGATACCATCCTTTGAGTTATTGCCTAGGGTGACCCAAAAGACTCCCAGACAGTAACCCAGCATAGAACTGGGAAAACGAACAGTAGAGCCCGATCTTATCTAAGGAAATACTGACAGCTGACTGCTATTGAATGAGGAACACCTGATCTTCCTAAAACAAGGCTCTCCAGATAGGCTGACCAGGCTCAGCAGATGGACAAGCACTGGGGAATGGCTAGGGGTGCCTACAACACAGTGGACAGTAAAGGGATGACAGAGTATATGGGCTCCAGTGTGTGGGTGGGCAGAAGATGCTTTGGGACAGTGCCAATTGGGAAGTGGGTATATGGATGAATAAGATTGTGTGGGACGTTCTGTATGATATACATACACAAAAAAATCAACAAATTAAAAAAAATGGCATATTTTATGAGGAAGTATAAAAATGTATTTTGTGTTAAATAGTAGAGGTTATAAACATTACCAGTGAAATCTACCTGGTGATTTTATATCCACACTCAGTTACTAAGGATCCAAGTGTAACCGACTGTGACTAGTAATAATTAGATATATAGAGGTTTTAGACAGATGTACAAATATATAAGTGTTAGTAGCATTAAAATGAAATGGTGGTCTTCTTTAAAGGGTAAAATCTCATTCAATTTTATGTCTTACAGGGTTTACACTGAGTTTAATATTGTATAAGTGTATTAATTCAACTTTGAACATAAAAATTTAGAGCCACTTTTGAAAGAGATGTATCCTTGCTCTGGAATGTGTCACTGAAAATGTTAAAGCAGTAATGAAATGTTTCTTCTACTCATGTTGTTATTAAATAAAAAAATAAAAAATAATAATCAAAGGTAAAAAAGACATTTAGGGGCATAAATCAAACCTGACACTATAGGTCTTAATGTATGTATACATTAGATATAGGTTTAGATATAGATACAGATATAGGTTAGATATAGATTACAGGCTATTTGGTGAGAGTAAAGAGGCAGTTCAGATCTGGGAGGGGATCTAAGTATGATAAAAATATTGAAAAAAATAGAAAAATAAAAAATACATATTAGTTAAATGAATCTGAATTTTTTAATGTTTCTTAAATAATATATCATGATATAAGTAGGAAAATAAAATATAATACTGTTTTTAAAGGTCTTCGCATATTAAGGTGTATCAATGAAGCTTAATATGAATGCCCCACACTGGGAAGGAATGCTCATAATAGGAGGAAGATATGCCTATATTGAATCACCACACTTAATGTCCCAAGTATTTCTATTGGTATTTGAGTTATTAAAATTGTTCTAATAAAATTGTCATTATAAATCATTATTTCTAATAATTGCACTTTCATTGTTTGACAATTAAAATAAATGTTTTGTAAATGTAATAAATATAAATATAAATGATAGTATTTTTCACTGAATTGAGCTATTAAGTTTAAGCAATATAATTTGTAGTTATTGTAAAAATAATTTCTAGGTGAAATAAATTTGATGAATCTAAATAACGAAAATGAAACTAAAAAAAGTTATTGATTTTCTGGGTGTTTTGGTGCACGCCTTTAATACCAGCACTCAGGAGGCAGAGGCAAGCAGATTTCTATGGGTTCCAGGCCAGTTTGCTCTACACAGTGTGTTTAGGCCATCTGGGGTCACAGGGAAACCCTGTGTCAAAAAGACTGAAAAAAAATAGAAAACATTATCTTTATAAGAAATTCATGCAATGTAATTTTATCACATTCAGGCCCCCCTCTCCTCCTCCACCTCCATTTATTCACTCCCAATCCAACTTTCATATCTATGTTCTCTATTATTATTTGTTTTATTTTTTTAGGTTCCACCCCCAGTATGAAAATTAAAAGGTTGAATGTTAAAGCATCAGTTAGAGAGTCAAATGCGAGAATCACCATATTTAAAAATGGCAAAGTATTGAAGCATTAAAAAGTTATATTTAAAAATATGTCTTACATGTATTCATCTATAATATAAAACTTACAAATTTTCAGCACTTTGAAAATAATATAACTTTAAAAACAAATAAAACTTACATGCTTTGTGAAATTTTCGTTTAACATCATGAATAGTAGATGTTTGTGAGACCTGAAAGAAGAAAATAGAATTATAAGAAAAACATGACAATATCTGGTTTCATAAATGTTGAAGAAAACATGCAAACCTGTGTAACATAATGTAAAATTGATGTTTTTGTTCTGCTTAACTTTTAAATTCTTCTTTTGTGAATTTAGAACACTCTAATCATTAATACTACAACTTTTGAAAACATGCATTTGTGTATTGCAATAGTTATATGATGTAAGCTCAAATTAATTTTTAATCTCTAAAATACATTTCTTTTAAAATTTTCTTCATTCAAAATATTTTATTTCCATCTCCAACAATCATGAGAATATCAATTAAAAACATGACTTTATAAAATAAAATAAAAGGACTATGCAGAGTGAGGTTCTTGAGGCTGTGTAACTGATGAACAAAGCTGACAGGATATGAAATTTGTACTATGCCATTATGTCATGGGATAAAAGTCACTTATAGAATTTCCCACTATTTATATTGTCAGAGCTCCCAAGTAAACCCACTGATGGTTCACGAAAATATGTGCAAAATAGATCATTTGGATTCTTTAAAATACAGTGGTTTGACCAAATTTTTAGCTCCAATATATTGAAATTAACTCAAAGGCAATAATGTTTGATATTCATTTTCTCTCAGATAAACAAAATTTTAAGGTAGCAGTTCTACACAAATGCATAAAATCATCATAGAATTATTAGACTATCTGTTAATACCAAACTTTGACCTGAAATGCCTTTTGTCCCTCATCTCTTAAAAATAATTATTAGTAATCCATCCAAAACTGAAACTCATTTTTAAAACTGATCACTTATTAAAATTCATTTATTTTCTCTTAATATATAAATGGAAGATTGGTTAGATATACAATGAACATATATGGACATGGATATTACTTTTGCTTCATCACTTTCTATGTATGGTTATTTTTAAAAAGTAAAATGAAAAACATTATTAAATGCATGAAAAAATATTACATATAATAATTCCCAAGAATGTTGACTATTATATCACATGAGAAAACTCTTATCTGGTCTGACATACTAGTGTTCTATATGATTCTTGTATCTCACTAGGTTTGGAAAATTTTCTAATATTTTATTAAAAGTATTTTCTGCACATTTGACATGGGTTTCTTTTTCTTCTTCTATGCCTATAATCCATAAGTTGTTCTTTTATAGAGTGGCCCAAAAGTCTCTCATATTCTGTTTGGATTTGACAGTTTCTTTGACTGAACGATCCGTACCCCCACCTAAGGAAATTGTGTAAAAGGATGGATGCTGGGAGGGGGAGAGTCTGTCTCCTCCAAGCATGGGACTCTTGGTAGGTTAACCAGGCTCCAGTGAATGCACCCACACTGAAAGACCTTTGGAGGCAAAAATTAGACTCTATAGACCTTAATATATACATATACATGGTAACATATAGTAAAATGGGTGGGGAGTAATGATGGAAGTTCTGCTAGGGAAGAGATGTAAGTATCATCAAATTATATTGCATGAAAATAACAAAAAGTCAATTAAGAAATATTTTATAAAGTAGCTGGAAAAAAGTTGTCAAGGATGTTCTTACTGTTTTGTAATATATAGTTTATTATATGCTAAGGGAACAAAAAATGTATCTTACCTATCTTCTCTGCTTAATAAGACTATGGTCAATATTTTAGTACAGTGTCAATATTTTATATTATTTTTGAACATATAGATATTTATAAGAAATCTCTAATTTTAACAACCTAAAATTTAAATATTAATATTTAATAGTAAACACCATTTATTTTATCCTATAAATAAATGATTAAGCATTCCATCATTAGGAAACTTATAAATATTTGAAACATGTTTTATTTAAATGAACATCTTAGTACATATTTAAATAAACCAATTACAGAGAATTATATATTTATACACTTGCACATATTTCATTTTAATGTTGATTATTAAGCTTTGTAAATGGAATAATACTTTAAGTATGGATTTTCTTAACAGTGTTCATCACAATATCAGTTGTTCACTTAGCATGTTTGTGTTTTTCTTCTTCAGACAGGGTTATCTAATATCCATAAGGTATTCTATTGACTCAAAAGTATTTTTGGGCTGGAGAACTGACTCAGTGGATAAGTGTTCTTGCCTCCAAGTCTGACAACCTGAGTTCCATTCAGGAGCATTCATGTTAGAAGAGTACTAGCTCTGACAAACTGTCCTCTAGCTGCCATACCTGCACATTGGCACATGTGTGCACACACAGAGGAATAAATGTGTAAAATAAATAAATAAAAAATAAATAAGTGTAAAAGCTTTATAAAAGTATTTGTAAATCTCACCTTTAAGATACCATACTATATTGAAAGATAAACATTAAGTTTATAATCAATGATTTCTCAATTAGAATTTTACTTGTGTTCTGCTAGATAGTTCTCTATGGGGACCCATTATCTGGTTTATTTATGTAGTTGTACATATTTTATGTAACTTCTGTTTGTGTTTCAATAAATGAAGTATTTTCTATACACAGTAAAATTTTAACTAACTTTTGTGGAAGTCACAAATAAAACTATGAGAACAAACATTGAAAAGCAATAAATTCATAGCATGTATAGGCTTCTCCTAAAGTACACTAGTTAAAATGGCAAATTTTAGACCTAATATATGAAATTCATTCTCAAATTTTAAGTAAGATTATATTTTCCTGAAATAAATACACAAAATAAATAGGCCTTTATTAACATTTTTGTTTACATTGTTTAGCTTTTTCCCCAGAATTTCCATGCATGAGAACAGTATTGACAGCATTCCATGGCTCAGGCCCCCAACGCTGAGTCTTCTCATGACATCCCACTCTTCTAAATTCATGACATCTTCTGTAATTATTACTGTTATACACACACACACACACACACACACACCTATGCTCATATGTGTGTATACAGCCAACTTAATCAATTCAGTGTTGTTCCTATGTACATGTAGTTAGAGATGACCACTCAGGATTGGGCAGTCTATTAAGGGACTAATCCCTGAAGAATGTTCCACTTTCAACAGCCATTGATTACTTACATTTCTTAATCTAGGAGTTAATATGAAATATGCCTTTCACCAGCTTTCAGTTCTTCTACTAATGTTCAACTTTTATCTACTGCAAACATAGCTTCTTTTAGGTGGAAAGAATTCTTTAGTTCCTTTGATAAGTGATTGATTAACAAATAATGCTGTTATGTTTAGTTTTACATACACATGTCAACTGAACTCTAAAGTGGCTGCATCCCTTCATGGTTCCACCTATATTAATGAGGTTCCTGTGTTTCAAATCCTCCTTGTGTTTTAAATTGTCATACAGAGTAGTGATTCTTTGTTTCAATTCACATTTCTCTGATGGAATGTGTGGATTGTTTTGCCATGTTTACCAGCTACATGCTTATCTCCTTGGCTGAAGCATTTCTTAAGGTATTTGGCATATTTATGAAGCTGTTTCTCTTCATTATTTTTTAAGAGGTCTTGGTACATTTTGAGATGACAGTTTTTTTTTTCCAGGTATTTTGTGAAAACTTTCCCACTGTTTTGCTTTTTCTCTTCACCTCTTCATCAGTGTATTTATGCAGAGTTGGGTGAAGTCCATGGGGTGACTGTCGCCCTGGTTATTGTCATCCTGGTGAGTAGCATCCTGGTGAGTATTGTGTCATCCTCCTTAGTGTCATCCTCATTTGTGTCATTAGTGGCATCATGCTGTCATCCTGGTTAGTGTCATCTGGGGTCTTGTCTTCCTGGTACTGTTGTCCTGGTTAGTATCATCCATGGTAGTGTCCTCTTCGTGACTATCATCCTGGCTTGTGTCATCATGGTTAGTGTTGTTCTGGTGAATGTCATCCAAGTTAATATCATCCTAGTTAGTGTCTTGGTGACTATCATCCTGACTGGTGTTTTCATGATTAGTGTCATCTTGGTGAGTGTCATTCTGGTGATTGTCATCCTGGCTAGTGTCATCTTGGTTAAAGTCATCCAGCTTCCTTTCATATTTGTTAGTGTTCTCCTTGGGTAAGTATTATACTTGGCATTTTGCCTTCTTTTGGACAATGGGATGCGAGCTCCATTAAACAATGGGTGATAAGAGCATTGCATAATTTCATAGAACCTCTACCTGGGAGCTAGTGATATCTATTACAATGCCAGTTCTTGTCTCAGGCACTTGTTCATGCACTTTTCTATTACAGATCTCAGATCTCATGAGTCTTTCTGGCTTAGACACTAGTTAGCTAAGAATTTCCCAACAAAGCAAGTAGGTTAGTAGACTGAATAAAGAGTCGGTGTTCTTAAATAGCTAAGTGGATGAACTGGAGCACATTACTTTGAAATAAATGTATTTCTTGCAAAGAACATGTCATTCCACTCACACATTTACAATTCATCATGCATTTCTTGTGCACTTTGCCATGTTTCTCAAGGGGACTTAGTATTTCACTTTACCTACTTGAACTTGGTCATAATCATTTGACTTTTTTGTCCTGTAAAATGTGAGATGTAATCACATAATTCTTGAACAAGAAACATTAAAAGCCAGCCTGGAGTTCTTCAAATCGCTGTTCACTGTTCTTAAAAAACTACCATGATATTGACAATAACTATTTAATCAATTTCTTTCCAAATTAAACAACTCTGAGTAAAGCCAAAATTCATCCATACTGAGCATTTTGTATGAGGTTGTTTAAAGGCTGCTGATATTAGACTCTATTATTTGGTGTAATTAGTATAAGGTGAAAGGTATGAATATATATATTATATTTTCAATATATTAGATGTGATAATAAAACTATATTAATTTTATTGATAGAAGGCAATGCATATTCTAAAAATGTGATAGATTCAGACTTTAAATTAATTTGAAAACTAATTTCAAAAGGTTACATCAAATTTCACTGTGATAGTCATACAATTCTACAGAGTTCAATATTTGTCTTATAGTTTTCAAACGTTTTTATTAATTATTTTATGTGTGTGTGTGTGTGTGTGTGTGTG